CCAACAAGTCTACGCCCAATACACCACCTCTCACCCCTCCTTCAAGCTCCCCGAATACCTCAGTCTAGGGGCCGCACTTGCGCTCAAGGCTAAGAATGATCGTGTCCAAGGAACTGTTGCAGCTGAAGTTGAAAAGCGTGGAAAGGTGACTTACTTCCCCTTCCCCATACACTCAAGCCACCAGTATGTACACTGTACTGACAAGGTGATATTCCAGAGCAGCGTCTTCTGCCTCCCAAATCCTCAAGTGCAATGGGTGATGGCCCCTGAGAGCGGAGTCTGGCAAAATATCAACTTCCTGCGGGGTGTCCAGCCAGACTTATGTCGATTCGCTGCTCGGTCGTGCAGAAAATTGGCTTGTGCTAATAGCGCCTCGATCTTCGTTTGTAACTGGGTGTGTATCTCCTTCTTTCCCATATCCCGTTTTACTTTCCCTCTAAGCTTCCTCTGGTGTCTTGGATAGTTCAAAGCTGATGTTATTTGGTGCTGGTAGAACGATAGCACCCTCTGGAGAGCTTGTTCGTACATGGGCAGCTATGCCGAAGACATCATCAACCGCTGCCCGCAGTATCGATCTGTCGGCTATGTTGGTGGTCAGGAGGATGATACTGATGGGTATTCGGTTATTGTTCGTGGCGACCCCTGCTGATTAGATGCATTACTGCTTTGTATCTGAGATGGATTGGGGAGTTCACTGGTGGGTCAGTACGCTTGCATTTATTGCGTTGATCTTTAGACTGGCGGGGTCGAGCAATCAAACTTGAAAGCTTTGTATTGCTCCTGCGGCAATTAATGCGATATACTGAAGTCAATATGAAATAATGAAACTAGAGATCCCATCTGAAGACATAGGCGTTATTTAATAATTCATCGCCAAGTTATGGAGGCTTCAAAGCTACAGCAGACACCAGAAACCAAGCTCACTCACTAAGAAGTTGCCCACTTAGCACCTTTGCATACATTCAGCAAAAACTCCTCACCTCTCTCCACACCAGGGAACAACCAGAAATAATGTGGGACCCCATCATAGAAATCACTCTTCGTCTCCACTCCCTCCTTCTTCAACATCTCCTCAATAACCTTCCCATCATCCCTCAACGGATCCTTGCCACAAGTACTGATATACGTCTTTGGGAAATCCTTGAGGTTCTTGCTTAGTGACACGAATGCTTTCTCGTCAGTGGGCTTCACGCCTGCCGCGTCGAAGAACGTCTTCATGCTGCCGGCATCGATGATGGGGACCCCAGAAGCGTTCTCGGTATATGCTTTGTAGATGGAGGAGTATGAGGAGGGAATGGAGTCAGGGTGTGCAGTCACGGGGACCATGGCGACAATGCCGGAAACTTTGGAGCCTTGACCAGCTTTGATCATTTCGTTGGCGACGGATAATGCTAGACCACCTCCGGCAGAGGCGCCGATTGTGAAGAGTTTGTTGCCGTCTCCACCGTATTTGGTGGCATTGTTGCGTGCCTATTGATATTGTTTTAGATGACTGACTTTGTGGATGGAAGGAGAGTGATACCCATTTGAAAGCAGTGACACTGTCATCGAGTTGGGCAGGCCATTTGTCAGTCTGGCTGAGTCGATAGTCGACCGAAACGAGGATGCAAGGTGTATTCTTGGAAATGACTCTGCACCAAGCGTCCTCGGAGTCGAGACTGCCAACAAGCCATCCGCCACCATGGTAATAGACCCCAACAGGCAATTTTTTGCCAGTCGCGCTGGGAGGGGTGTAAATGCTATTTAGAACTTAGTACTCGCATATTTCGAAATCTCAAGATCGGCCTGGGGCTTTCGGATCAATTCCAAGATATAATACAAGAAACAGATCCTAAGACATCCAGACTTCAAGGTCGGAAAGTACTGACCGGACTGGGACGCCGTCGGCGGTTGTGTCTTCTGTTATGATGGAGGCATCAGGAGGAGGTGCTTGTGCTGCAAGACTTGCGCCGAGGCCATTGAATTGGTCGATGATATCTTGAGGGGTTCCGGTGAGTAGTGGTCGTACGCCGAGTACTTTCTCATACTATTGTATCGAGTTAAATTATTGCTAAGTGAGCTGAGGAACCTGGGACTGTACCTCGAGCCAGCCTTGAGCATATCCTTCAGTTGATGGTTCAGCCATAATGATTGAGTTGATTTGTTAAAGAGTGGTATCGAAAATAATTGAGGTAAGAACAAGTTGAGAGTGCAACGAAGCCTTGAACAGAAGCTCCAGTACTTGGTAAAGTTGTCAGTCCGATATAGCTTATGCTTGGAATCTGATCGCTGCTGCACAGAACTTAGAAAGTGAGGTTGAAGAGAGGGGAAAAGAGGGGCAGATAGGAAACGTTGAAGCTCCCGAGGTCATTTATACTTTCACCAACAGGGACCTAGCTTAGAGAAAGGGATACCTTCCCACCTGCTGGCAACACGGGTGAGGGGAACGAGGGGTTCCCCGAGTCGCACTTGCCTTCCTTTCACTCCTTAGGCCGCACCACTCGATCACTGATCGAGAACGGCCATGGGATACACCCCACTACCTAGGTCTGTAAGTACTCCTGCTATGGCGAAGTGGCTTCGATGCATCTGGGAGGCAGATAATGCAGCTTCGGTGGAATGGCGAAACATAGCCGTTGAGGTGCATGGGCAATCCTTTCTACAGCAGAGCTGCACAAAGGTCCGCAGCCGAGGAGTTCCACCACTTCCGCAATCCAGCTAATTGTCATTACCGATACTGGAAATGGTTCAGCTTCAGCCTCGTGCGGGGGAGTGAGGCTAGCAGCGATAGCGGGGTATCTCCGCCCTTAGATTCGTCCCTAGGAATTAGAGTTGGTTGATTAGAGAAATCGGAGCCAGATATGCAGTACCTTGCTGGGTTGGGAGTCTATATTGGTCATCCACCAGGTCCCGGTCGAAGCAATCATTCGGAGATAAGATTTGTGATCGGGCTCGAGACAGGTCTCGATTCCAACTCTTCTCAGCCTCGTATCCCGTGCGATACTTGGCATTGCGGGTGATGTGTGCTCCTCGATTTGATTCCCAGGGACGGACTTTATGTCACATGAGACGCCTGTTTGATTTGTTTGAGGATGCTCGAGTGCCACGCTGAAGTCTCGACGCCGAGATAAAGTTTCTTGGAGACGTTCAAGCCAATGATGTTCCCTCAACCTTGCTTGGGCAACCATGAAGGATGATTATCCTTATCAAAGTTTCGGCAATTACTTCGAAGGCGATTGACGACACGGAAGGAACTCAGGCGTTTGCCAGCTGGGATGAAGGAGCACGTAAAGTAATCTGCTTCAGGCCGGTCCTGCTCGACAGACTTTGAACTCCTCGACTCAAATCTTGCATCATGTGAAGGATCCAGTTCAGCAATATGTGATTGTGTTACAGAATTTCGGTGGAAACATGTAGACGGACTGTCTTATGAGTCGTCATCCGAATTGGAAAGCTAACGTCTCGATCAAATTGTTGAAGTAGGAGTTGAAGTGGGCTGAGATGCTAGTTGAGTTCTGACTGCATGAAGTGCCAAGACATTATCCGAGTTCAAACCGGATGCCACTGCCGATTCTCCAAGTTTGGTGGTTCCTAAAGTTTCTAGAACATCAACCAGACACTTCGCAACATACAACATCTTCCTCAACGCCTCCCAGTCCGTACTCTCGGAGTTGACGGTGCTACTATTTCTGACCCTTTGAGTTCAACTCAATCAAGTTCGTTTATTCTGCCAGCCTTACACAGCCACAAGGACTGCCACAGCATCATCAGTGCCATGCTTGAAAAGCTTCAAGTGGGGCCGTCAAAAGAGCGAAATGTGTCGGCATTCAACATCCATGAGCTAGGAACCGATGGCAAGCCACAAAGGTACGCGTGTCGATGAGCGAGTCAAGTTGCGTGTGCAAGGTACGGCGTGGCTTGTTTTATGGGGCCATCGTCATTGCTTTTGTGGAGAGTTTGGTTTGGAGATGGGGTACATAAGGTAGGGCTGGCCTTGATTTGCTTCAGTGTACCATATCATACCAAGAACATTTCTCTCCATTCGTTCCTTCTCTTTCGTGAGAATACTCTATATTGATACCTACAAACACTCATATTCAAAATGGGTCTCATGGAGAAAGTCATGCATAAGGCGGAAGAGCAAATCAAGAAGAAGATGCATAGTGGCAATAATCAACATCAGCAAGGCGGATATGTAAGTCTCGCTAATTGGCATCTTACCAAAACATTAATCTAACATAAACAGGGAGGACCACCACCACAGCAAAATTACGGAGGCGGTGGAATGATGGGTATGGGAGGTGGTCACCAACCAGGGCAGCATGGAGGAGGATTCGGAGGCGGGCATCATCAACAGCAACATGGTGGTGGCTTCGGAGGCCCAGGTGGATTTGGAGGACAGCATGGAGGTCGAGGGGGATTCGGTGGCCAACACGGAGGACCACAACATGGTAATGGCGGATTTGGAGGACACCACGGAGGTGGTGGAGGGGGATTTGGTGGAGGCCCTGGTGGTCCAGGTGGACATCATGGTGGTGGAGGAGGAGGATTTGGAGGACATCATGGAGGACATCATGGAGGAGGAGGTGGTGGGCCCGGAGGACCAGGTGGTTGGTAAAGTTTCGTTTAATGTTGTCCAAAATACCCGGCTTTCTTTAGGATTTTTTCCAATGAGCGAAAGGAATTGATCGATGGTTCACAGAAGTATAATAGGATGCCTTGACTGGGACATGCAAAAACTGATAAAGCCCGCTCATTCTACAAGGGTTCAGAACGAGGCGTGTCGGCTATGACCTAGGTAGGACCAGCTCGAGAGTACGGTAAGCGAAGTCGCAGCACTTCGGCAGAGCACACCGAAAACAGGCATCACAAAATCGCAAACTATTCGAAGTAAAAGACAAATGTGCTCCGACAGATACGGAACATGTAACTTTGATGTGCAAAAAAAAGTCCAAAAAGAATGTTTTTAGAATGGACGAACAGGGAACTGCTTATAATTAGTAACTGACAGATTTCTGAACTGAGCTTCAGGTGAACTTACTCGAACCCTGGACCATTCCCATGCTGTATGAACAAGTTCATTTTATGCTAAGGGAATATTATACCACTAAACCATTCGCCCTTTTGATTGGATGTCAACCGCTGTCTTATTTCATTATATGTTAAACATAAAAATTTGACAATTCTCATGTGTGCCGACGCGAGAACGGGGAGTACGAAGCTATTTTGGGAGCCAATGAACAGGGCAGTGGTAAGTAGTGGGGTGACTTGGACTGAGCGCAGTTCACGACGCAGCCAACTAGATGACCTGAACTGCGTGGGATGGAACCTCAAAATTACACTGCAGAAATTTGAGATCACTTCTTCTTTGCAATACACTAAAGTACTGAGGTCGCATCCTATCTACACGTGTAATTGTCGTCAAGTGAAGCCACCGATTTTCTGTTTTCAAGCCCCTCGCTAGTGACCCCGCCAATTGATGGGTTATCAGAACATCAAAACTGCTATACTTTTCCATTCACAGATTTGGAGTTAAAGGCATGGAGAGTATTTCTAATGTCTGGAAAGGGTTTGAGGACTTTTTCAAAATGTAAATAGGAGGGCATCGTCAAAGGCCAAACAATAATTTCTGGTATTATGGTCCGGACGCATTGCCGCTTGTCTAGGTCTCTTTGAGAACATTTCCTCAAAGTCCGCAGAGGAATTGCTGCCTTTATTACAGAGCTTGGCTAAATCTTACTACTATTAATAATACTGGGATGTATACTGTACTTGCGCTTAGTTATCGAACTTGTTGTTCGTTGTATTACAGACAGTGCCAGCACTGCGTTCAATATATCTGAACATGATTCCCGCATAACTATCTGGATTGTATATGCTGAATCTAATTGTCCACATCGCGTTCAATAAACCGAGCTTCGTTTCTCAGCTATTCATAGAAATGGTCTTCGACAAATGCTTTAAATCAATGGAGGTCGCTCTAAAAAGTTCGCCGCTCCAGAATGAATATCCATGTCACTAATGTGTGCTGGACAGTGAAACCCAGCTTCATAATAGCCAATACACTCGAAAACATAGGGCTTGGCGGATTCATGGATGAGTTTCGGGTCATTCTGACCAATATCTACTGTGGGGTATTTACAGTGCGGAGACTTGAAAAACCAAGCCGTGAAAATTTTGTGGTGCTACGATCTGCTGTGATGGGAGCCCAAGCCGAAGACCTATGCTGTGAGCATGCAACGTGTAAGTTTTGGTGTCCAGTTAAGTATCGAAGATATCTAGAACGTTAAGGCATGCGGGCTTGGTAGAATCTCGCACTCCTCCCAGATCTGCTATTTGGACAGAGAGAAGTGACGAGAGAAGTGACGAGCTCGAACTTGGAGACCGAATGAGAGGGGGATCAAGGTCTGGTTACAACGATACTTTCAAGAGTAATTTCAAGATAACTATCATTGTCCGATCCCAATCCATCGTATTGTCTGGTCCTTCCAGCAATAAAACTTGACGATGATTTCTGTGTGGCCATCCACGGGTGTTCAAGTACCCACTTCGGCCTGTGACTCAGACAGAGAACCATGGAACAAACATCAGGAAGACAAGAACCTGGGTGAATCAAGTATTGCAATCACTCCGCAGGAGTCAGTTTCGTTTCATTACTGCATGCTCTGAAAACCATAATAGGTGAGCATGCGACTTGGAACGGCCAAGTCAGAAACCCGGCTGCAGGATATTTTCGCGCTAAAACGTCGCTTACCAGTAGCTCTCCCACAGGCTAGCACCTCGATTTTTCCGAACTTTCTCAAGGTCCAAATCAACGACACATCTTGAACATCACGTCTCAGTCTCCGCCTCAAATAGCGGTTAAATCGATTGATACTCTTGTTCCCCAAAAACAACAACCAAATGTGAGTTTGCGCATAGCCTCACATGATCTGCGCTATGTACTGACCATTCCCCCAGCACGCAAAATGAAGCACCTCGCAGCATACCTTCTCCTCACCATCGGTGGTAACACCTCCCCATCCGAATCCGACGTCAAGGCCGTCCTCGAGTCCGTTGGAATCGAGGCCGATGACGAGCGTCTCTCCACCCTCATCTCTGAGCTCAAGGGCAAGGACATCCAAGAGGTATAGCAATCTACAACCGGGGATATGCGCGACGCGGGCTAACTGGTATCCAGTTGATCACTGAGGGTTCCAGCAAGTTGGCTTCCGTTCCATCTGGAGGAGCTGGTGGTGCTGCCCCAGCTGCTGGAGGTGCCGCCGCTTCAGGTGGTGCTGCCGCCGAGGAGAAGGCCGAGGAGAAGGAAGAGGGTACGTTCTACACGTGGCAGACCGAAGAGATGGATACTAATACATCATATAGAGAAGGAGGAGTCCGACGAGGATATGGGTTTCGGTCTTTTCGACTAAACGAACAAAATCTTTCTTCACGGATGACACCAGGCTCTCGATACTTCACGACAAATGGTCAGGGCTTCTGGGAGGAGTTGTGCGCGCTTTGCAAGGAATTTGCATGTCATGGGAAATGGGTCGGATTGACGGCCTTCTATGATAAGATGTCAAGGATGCAGGTTACATTAATGCAATAGAGACGTGCTTCTTCCAATGTTTGGTGCAATTGATTGAGAATGTGAACTTGGACTGTGATCATAGAAGAGAAACGAGCCAATATCTCTTCGAATTCGATTTCTTAGGAACGAGAGACTTTCCATTCGAGGATCGGCGGTAGTCAATTGCCAACTTTCATGCCGTTCTGAGCTCCAAGTGCTTGGAACATAGAGTAATCTCGAGCATGAGATGTAAACCAATCAATTATCCCGACCAAATTCGAATATCTGAGATGCCAGCATTAAATACTTCTCAAGGTCTGAATCCGAGGCTGTTCAGCCTTGTTCTCACGCGCCAAGAGTTTGGGGCTTCTTGCCCTACTCTGGAGAAATGTGGCGCTAATGAGTAAGCGATTTCCTCGACGCTAACGAATCGCAAAATCCACTCCACGCCTCAGAACTTCATTCCACGATCGCCAGCAAACATTCGACTTTCGACATCACCGAAAGCCGACACTCACACCCACCGCAATCATGGCTGACGAATACGTGAGTATCAATTATCTTCCATTTCAATCTGCCACTTGCGCAGACTGCCTGCGCCCTGATACTATCAAAAACTCATGCTGACGTCGTTTCCCATCACAGGACGCCGTTGAGGCCGCCGAGATCAAGAAGAAGAGAGCGTTCAGAAAGTTCTCCTACCGTGGAATCGACCTCGATCAGTACGCCTCCCATACATATACATACATACCCTAGTCTTGAGAATTACAAAGGGGAGCAAATAAGCTAACCCTCGATTCTTCACCTATAGACTCTTGGACCTTTCCTCCGACCAGCTCCGTGATGTTGTCCACGCCCGCGCCCGCCGTCGGTTCAACCGTGGTCTCAAGCGCAAGCCTATGGGTTTGATCAAGAAGCTCCGCAAGGCGAAGCAGGAGGCCAAGCCCAACGAGAAGCCAGATCTTGTCAAGACTCACCTCCGAAACATGATCGTTGTGCCAGAGATGATCGGCAGCGTTATCGGTATCTACTCAGGAAAGGAGTTCAACCAGGTCGAAATCAAGCCTGAGATGGTCGGACACTACTTGGGAGAATTCTCGATCTCTTAGTACGTACTCACGTTCTGGAAGCAAGTTTGGTCGCAGCAAGGATAAAGCTAACGTTCCCACAGCCACCCAGTCAAGCACGGAAGACCCGGTATTGGTGCCACCCACTCTTCCCGTTTCATTCCTCTCAAGTAAATACTTGCTGTACGCTGGGTCTTTTACGGATGGGATGGGCGCATGGATATGGGATATTCGTTTGTAGCAGTCAACAAATGAACTGCTACAGATACCAATGAAATCTTGCAACCTCCAAAGATCTGTGCTATAGATTGATGTGAAGAGGTAAGGGTGTCGGAGGGAACAGCAGCTCGACCACACTGAAGAGTGTCCCGTTGCTTCAAGTCGACTGTAAGCCATGTCATGAAATAGCGACGTCCAAAAGCTGTGTTCGGGGAATAGGTTACATCAAAATTGCAATCGATGTCCCAAGTCTTCCCTTTGTGTTCATTTCGATCAGGTCTTATCATCCTTCTCAGTCGCTTTCCTTCCTACTCTATCAAGTACTTTCAATTAGTTCGTCATGAGCAAACCAGCTGTAAATTCCCAAGGCTTCCCCATTCTTCAGCCCAGGAATGATTTCCTACATCCGGCTCTCTTCACCTGCCAGGTCCTGTCATATTGTCTCTCGAACATTGTTCTTTAGTACATTTGATATTAGTGTTATTCCGGACTCCATTTGACCAGGCTGTGGCGGCAGTCCATGGAAGGCTTTACAGCAGGTGACTTTCCCGACCAAAGCCTAGGGACATACCAGGAAATTGAGAGCCTATTCTCGAACTTCATCCATTGGCACTCTCTTGCTTCGGAGCATACAAATCTCACAAGATGACTTCAGTACCTTGGTCGACGTGATGTCGGGCTTTGGACTTGACCTGTCATATGCGGGGACGTTGTATTACTTCGGACTTGAGACTTGATCGCGTATTCTTGCCACTAGCTTTGAGAACAATAATGTTAACCTACTCTCATGGTGGTGTGCCATATGTTTCACATTCCACCAAGAAGAACTGACTGGCAGATGGACAATGAGGAATGAGAGCACCCAGTAAAGTAGCACAAGAAGCGGCAGCAGACGCAGGTTAGCATAAAATTCAAATCTGTTTTGCCATTCTTACGGGCAAGTGGTCTTATGAGTGACAACCTCAGCTGAAGCCATCTCCAAGTGACATCTCAATAGCCAATGAGGTGCTTCAGAGGACGGAACTCCTTAAAGATCTGGACAGTCTTCCAAACCGGGGTTCCTAGACTCAGGATGTTCCAGAATTATTCCAATATCGCTCCTGGTGGAAAGTATATGTCATGCCTGTAATTGAGATCTGAAAAGGGGTCCTCGAGCAATGGAAAGTTAATATGCGCTCAGCAGAACGTCGTACAGAAGCACAGCACGGTCTCTCATTCGTCATTGTTCGGATGGTAATACCTGCGACGATCCGGAGCCACTAAATGCCCGACCATGCTTTCCCG